GAAGCGAACAAAATCTCGCCCAACATTGATCGACGACGTATGCGCATGTTCAACGACTCCATAGCTGAGATGGCCCTACATGAGATAGCCCGGGTAGGGGCTAGGTTCACATGGACAAATAAACAGATGGACCCTATCCGGAGTGTGCTGGATCAGGTCCTCGTGTCTATGCAGTGGGAGATTATGTTCCCACTATGTCCACTGTGGGCGATCACATGGATCAGCTCCGACCACGTTCCACTGCTGTTTACATCAAGGGAAGGGTCTCCACCGAGATCTAGGCGCTCCCATTTTGAACCATCATGGCTTCTGTAGCCGGGGTTCGTCGAGATGGTTCAGGATCGTTGGATGCAGGCGTCAAATAACCCACCAAGGGTATTCTGTGCCACAGACGTTTGGCATCACTTCTCTAAAACCACCCACCAGTTTATGCGGGGTTGGGGCGCCAACCTTGGTGCTGCCCTGAGGTCCCGCAAAGGGGCTCTATTGGACCAGATTAAGGCCCTGGACGCGACTACTGATTCAGCTGGTCTATCGGATAACGACTGGTTGCGGCGGTACTCCCTTGAAGCCTCCCTAATGGAGATCTTCAAGGGGGAGGAGCTGTTCTGGCAACATCAGGGCGGCACAAGAAGTGCTCCATCCCGTGCCTTCGGGAAGGGGACACCCTTCTCGAGCACTCGGATGAGATTAGGACCCATATTTACACCTTTTTAAGGGGCTCTTCTCGGCGGAACCCTGGGGTGGGGTATCCTTGGTGGATGATTTCTGGCCCCTAGCGGACAGGGTATCTGACAATGAGAATGCGGAACTAACTATCCTTTTCTCACCGGAAGAGGTGGGGAGGGTGATCGCCTCGATGAAGGCGGGTTCGGCACCGGGGCCGGACGGCTTGCCGGTTGCCTTCTTCCAGAAATTCTGGAATGTCCTAAAACATGTGATCATGCCAATGTTCCATGAATTCTACATCGGAACATTTGACATGGCGTGCATAAATTTTGGTCTCATCACCCTGATCCCCAAAGTAGTTTGGGCGACGGACATTCGCCAATTCAGACCTATCACAGTTATCAACATTCTGGAGCGCATCTTCTCTAAAGTATGCGCGACTAGACTCGTGCCGGTAGCTGAGAGGATGAATCACCCACTTCAGACATCATTCCTAAAAGGGAGACAAATCCATGACGGGATTTCCCCCCTTCACGAGATTGTCCACGAGGTGCGATCGCATGGGCAGAAGGGTGTCTTTCTCAAGCTGGACTTCCAGAAAGCCTATGATCGGCTAGACTGGAACTTCCTGCGGCTAGTCATGCAGCACAGAGGCTTCGAGGACAGATGGTGCAACTGGATTATGCAGTTGGTATGGTCTGGCAACACAACGATTAACATTAACAGTGAGGTGGGGCCATTCTTCTCGTCCTCTGCGGGAGTGAAGCAAGGGGACCCGATATCCCCCCGTCTCTTCAATCTCGCCGTAGACGCGCTGGCGGGAATCCTGGACAAAGCTAGGAGGGTTGGCCACCTCTCGGGAGTTGTTGGTCACCTCATTCCGAGAGGAGGGGTCACCCATATCCAATACGCTGATGAAACTATGATTATGGTGGGAGGATCCGCCCTCGACATAGTTAATCTTAAGTTCCTACTCCTGTGCTTTGAGGCTATGTCGGGACTCAAAATTAACTTCGAGAAGAGCGAGGTCATCATCTTGGGCTACCTTGCAGAGGACCAACAAAGGATTGTGGACAACCTAAACTGTAGACTAACCTCATTCCCCATTACCTACTCGGGGATGCCGATGGCAGATTCGAAGATCTTGACGAGTGCGTTCGATCCTTTAGTGGGGTGAGTGGCATCTCGGGGCGAGCCCTGGCGAGGACGGTTTACCTCCAAAGGGGCAAATCGATCCTTATTAGTTCCAATCTAGCGAGCCTCCCCATGTTCATGATGGGGATGTATATCCTACCGGAGGGCGTCCATAGTGCCTTCGATAAGGATCTCGCTAGGTTCTTTTGGCAGGCGGCCAATGGCCGCCCAAAAGTACCACATGGTAAAGTGGGCGGATATTTGCATGCCCAAAGACTGTGGTGGAGTGGGCATCATTACCTCCCGTCGTATGAATGTTGCGCTCATGTTGAGATGGGTCTGGCGGATCTTATGCAGCGAGGGAGGACTATGTTTATGGCGCATTTAGGCGAAATACCTTAGGGGAGAACCGCTCTTGGCATGCAACCGGATGGATGGCTCACAATTATGGCGAGCCATCCAAAGGATCAAGGAGGACATTCGCCTAGGGATCTCCTTCTCCTTAGGGAACAGGAAAGGGATCCAATTTTGACTGGATCCCTGGCTGGGTACTGAGCCATTACGTGTTTCCTTCTCTGGCCTATTCTCGATATGTGTGGATCCGTCCCGCCTAGTGTCTACGGCTTTCGAAGCTGGACAGTGGAGCATCAGGTTTCATCGCACCTTTGGACAAGCCGAGAGTAACAACTGGACTAGACTGTGGGCCGCCCTACCACTCGTGCTTCCGGATTATCCGGACACGGTATCATGGCGGCTCGCGTCGACGGAGGAGTTTTCAGTGAGCACGGCATACCATGCCCTTTGCCCGTCGCTTGCCACTCCCTGGATGTCCCCATTATGAAAAGCCCCCGTACCTTTAAAGATTAAGATTTTTGTTTGGCAACTTCTACGGGGTCACCTTCCCTCGGGGATAGAGGTACTTAAGCAACACGAACCTGGTGATGGTCTATGCCCTCTCTATGCGGTACCAGAGACTGGGACCCATATCCTCTTCTCGGGTACTATGGACGTACGTCCGCGAGGCGTTGGGGCCTGACTGGGAGGCACTAAATCTCGCGGAGTTTCTCCAACATAGAGCTTTACAGCCGTCACGACATCGCCGCCTATTTTGGCTTATTTTTGTGGCGATGTCGTGAACTCTTTGGACGACTAGGAATAAGATGGTGATCGAGAAGGTTTTTCTAAGGAAGGCATCTGACTCCTTCAAATTCTTTGCTTTCCTGCAGCACTGGCACCCGCTCTCAAGGCAGTGTGATCGCGATCGACTTGGCTTGATGATGGATGCGCTTTTGGCTCCGGTGCGTCGACTATCGTCCTCGTAGTGCCGCTACGGGGTTGCCACTAGGTGGTTTTTTCTTTTTTATTTCTTTTATACTTTCTTGGGTTTGACTGTGCTGTGGCCCCAGTCGTTATCTGTCGGGTGTTGTTCGAACATGGATTATATGGATCGTTGCTCTATTTATAAAGCAGGGCGAAAACCTATTTCGAGAGAGCCAAAACATTGCGCGTGCAAATCTAATATATCTTAGGATTATGAGGCTGCCCGTAATGGGAGTATCATACATAGTATCATGTATGCCAACTAAGCAATTTTGATGAAGTGCATAATATTAAATGAAGAAAGAGAGACTTGAGTATCATACTAAATGATGTGCTACTTTGTGTCATGCATGGCAATAAATATAGTCCTCTATGATAACAACATTTGAAACTATGCATTACAGATGTAGTATCATATGCATGATACTAGTTTTTGTTGAGGGGAAAACCAAGCTTTATTCATCAAATACCACATATACATCGTTGGTCATGGAATTGGCCAAACCAAATGTGATGTCCCAGACCAAGGGTAAGAGAGTGCTTGGCTAGTTTATGAGCCTCTATATTGACCCTATGACTTTCAAAAATAAAATTACAATTGGAAAGTGTTGCTTGGAGCTTGATTTCCCTAATGATCGCTCCATATCTTCCTGCTGAATCGCTCTTTATATCCATAACTACTTGCTTGCAATCCGAAGAGTCTATCATGTTCCGAACATGTATATCCGCCGCAAGTGCTAGGGCTTCTCTCACCGCGATGGCTTCAAGTGTAGCTGGGTCCTGAACCCCTACTATTACCAGCGCTAAACTGCCAATAAAATTACTATCGCCATCTCTACAAATAGCTGAAACAGCCCCGCCTCTGCCTTGGTGGGTTGCTGCATCAACATGGATTTTGTGAAAGCCCGTCGGTGATGCCTTGGGCCTCAGAGCTCGTCCTTGAACTGGAGCTACAGTTTGCCTTGTCTCTTCCTTTTTAGAGATCATTCCAAGTTCTTCAATAAACCTATTGACAAAGGAGTATGTCACATGAGGGCTTTGAAATATACCTTCCTGGATTGCCTTCCGACGAGCTGCCCAGATCGCCCACAATGTAACTGAAAGTTTCACAAACATGTCATGTGAGAAAAGCTCCATCAATGTGAACAACCAGTTCTTTGCGCCGGGCTCCGTGGTTGATATCAATTGTTGTGTCATCTCATCATCGACCAGGACCCAGATGCATCGTGACATCGTACAGTTCATTAGTGAATGTCTCTATAAATCTGGCGCTCCACATATACCGCATGCCGGTGAGTCTGTCATGTGCCGGTGATACTAGTATATAATACTCCCCGTTACAACCAGTCCGAGGAAAGACAGCCCATGTTTGGCTTAGGCCCACGTATATCGGCCACTTACACTGACGTACGGGCCACGCTTTTTTGTTTTTCAGGGAACGTACGGATCACGTCTTTGTGACCCCCGTCTGCGCAGAACTACGAGATCCATCTCTCGATCTGAGCCGCGTAAAACCCTAGCC